TCGAATAAAGATTAATATTATTATGTTGATACAACTTAAACAAATTATTTCGGCCAAATTAGGTAACATAAAAACGGTTTTTGTGAGTTAATCTTAAAAGATAGACATATACTGTCGCAGACTGTTTTTTAGATCATTAAAAGAGCTATTATTCTTTAATACATATTTTTGTGTATCTTGAACCGTTTTCACGCCGCACGCAACGGAAGGCTTCAAAGATGAAATAATTTCTCCCGTTTTTTACACATTTACCACTATATCTTTGCTCCTATTGGTCGTAGCGTGATGTTATATAGCCCAAAGCCTTCCTCGATAACTGGAATATCCAGCACAATAAGAATTATTCAATTCGAACCAGTAGTTTTGGAGATTAGCGCTTTCAAACAAACAAACAAACAAACAAACTCTTCAGCTTTATAATATTAGTATAGATTATATTGAGTTTAATTTTTTTGTTAAGAAAATTAATAAGGAAATAAAGAGAACGCCAAAAGATGTTCAAGAAAAAAAATCATCTTTTAGTTATTTCATTAAAAATCCAACAACATTTTCAGTTAGATTTTTTTAAACTTAACAATATTTTAACTAAGATAATTAATAGTTCTTTTCTTACTATAATGTTTATAAACGTTATGTTGATGTATACATATAATATATATTTGTAGCTACTTATACTTCTAGCCAAAAATTCACTTGCACTGTTACTCATTCTCACGATATTCCAGAAGTTACCACAAGTATCATTAGATCCAAGCCTCATAATTGAAAAAAAAAGCGACTACGAGGTTTATCATCATTAGTAAATTTTCAAAGTCGGTTGGAATGATAGGATATTAGTTTGTTTGTTTCTCCGTTCTGTTAATGACTTCCATGTAAATGATATAAATTGGAGCCAAATTATAAACATTACAACAGAGTTGTCAGAAATCGCATGAGAAAGACTAAATTACTTCGACCTATGTTGTAATTTTTTAACGAATCTCAGCTCGGGAGACTTCTGGTTAGCTTTTTTTTAAACTTTAATTATCTCAATGATGACATACTTATGAGTTACGAAACTTTTTAATAACATAAATTGGCGGTTTTTATTAAACAATGTTAGTATATGTTTACTGTGATGTGCATGACAATCCTTACATTTTGAATTACTCACAGACGAGTAATTTATACTGACGCTGATTATTTTTTATTTATTTATTGATATAAAAGGTGGCAAATGAGCAGACAGCTCACTTGATGGAAGGTGGTTACAGTCGCCCATGGACATCCGCAACATCTTTGCCAACTTTGTTTTTTAGGGACAGGAAGGGGTGTGAATAAGGAAATGGTAGGAAAGGGTGGGAATAGGGAAAGGGCAACCGGCTCTCTCACTCATCGGACGAAACGCAGCCATTAAAGGCTACTTCACGTACTCCCCCGGTCGAGCCAGCCCATGTTCGAGCTCTAGCAAATAACCACAGCTAGGCTCTACCACTTTTAAATTAATTAGTAAATTAGTATTTTAATTAATTAGTAAATGAGCCTTTTTAATATCTGTAATATTACCATCACCAGCTAATGATTACAAGAAAATTTCATAAATATTCTCATATTCGTTGTTGTTTGAAATACAAAACGTGACTTTGGAAAGCGTATTTATAAATTTAGGTATTAGGTATGCGTATTTGTAAATTTAGGTGTCACATATAAATTAAATAACTTTGATGAAGTAAACTTATATATAGCAAGTGCGCCGTGAATTAAGTGTCACTGCAGGCTAGTATAAAGGTTATTGTTTATTTAAATTTATTGTCTCACTTATAGTTTTCTAAACCGTTATTTAAAGGTAAAACATTATTCAAAAATACGAGATAGTAGCCAAGCAAATACAAATTCTATTTATAAATGTCCTTATTTTGTTTGTGAAATTGGCATAAAAAATACAATAGCTTTACATATAAGTGGCAATGGGCTGGTCATGTTTGAAGGACCGATAGCCGATTTCGGTGTCAGGACGTGACGACCCCATCGCCCACCAGTGTATTAGTATATTCCGTTGCAATCAGTCACGGGGGGGGGGGTGTCCTTGACCTCTTTGTGGGGTCTCCTCCTCCTTTGCAGCCCTGGGAGTCGGACGGTCACGGATGGTAAGGGGCCTTCCGTGGCTGTCTTGAGGGGGAAGGGAAACTCGGGTCTCTCCGGAGGCCTGAGTTCGCTTGATGATCGGTTTAAGCTCTGTATGTCGTCGGGCGCTTGCGCTGATCGGGTGGTGGTTAGAGACTAGCCGCGTAGGCTTGGTTGGGAGGGGTAGGGGGTTAACAATCTCGCGATTAAGTAAGCCTGCCAGGCGGGGGGATGCTCTTGGTCATTGGTCACATGGCTTCATTCGCACTGGAATCGTGGAATATTTTGCACAATTCCTTTTATATATGATATCTGGAAACATTTTTAATCTTTTCTCAATTTTCATCGCAAAAGAAAAACGAAAACCTATTATTTAAAACTAAATCTCTCCAAATACATTAACTTTGACCTTAAAGGAATGAAGCAGGGCATTGAACTTTAGTGTTTCTATTTGATAAAAATCTTTAAAACAGTAGGTATAGCGCAGGTCCTTTTACCTTTCTATTGCTATTATAACTATGAATAATATAATGTTAAATATTTCTCCCACTTTTGATTTTTGCTAGTATTTGTGTTTTTAAATCATTTATTAACTTGAGTTATGTTATACATATGTTATTGTATTTCATTTCAACTTTGAGCAAAATATAATAAGATCCTATTTTATATAAAGCCCTATTTTCTGAGCAACGATCTGACAATATTACAAAAATTATATCCGTATAATGAGAATAAAAAAAATTGGATGATAGTCGCAATTAAAAAGCACATAAGGCTTGAAAACATGGTTAACCAGTGTAAAGTGGTACATTATATACGAAAAAAAAGGTTTTAAGACAGTTAATTGATATAAAATCATGAAGTCTTAATATTTCTATAAAAATTACATATTAATAATATCTTTATGATTCTGCCAACAATTTAGTACCTATTGATTTAATAATTTTATTAAAATATTTAGATTATGTTGAGTTTTAATGTCGAACGTACTTTCTAGTTAGAAAATACAATACAGAAAAGAGAGAAGCTATTGTTCGACCATTATCTGCACTTACATATTTTGATTAGCAATTATGACAATAAACGTCATTTATTTGATTTGACTGTACAAAGTTTAACGTTAAGTTTATAAAAAGCATACAATGAGGTTATCAACATGACTCGATCTAATAACCTTTAAAGGATTATTCACCTAAAACATTTGAACTACTATTAGTATTTGACACGCAATAAACGAAATTAATAACAGCCTTTATTAAGTGCTTTCGGCTTTCTAATAATTTTGAAAGTACTATATAGTCTATACATTTTCAGTATTGCGATATTTTGACTAAGGATTGTTTATTAAATTTTAAATGTTCATAAACAAACTCGTGTTGCCAGTAATGAATCAAAAATATACCTTATAATGTTGCCAGAGTTGCAATTCAGTTAAAATAAAAGGCAGAATAATTTTCATGAGTAAATTTATTATAATCAAATCTAACATTATTGGGGCCGAGACACACGTTACTCGATGGCATTATAATATCAGTCAACATCACAACTGTATTTAAAAACTATTCATATTTACATTTAACAACACATTTTCAAACTGAGATATATTTTACATTCCAGTATCATACTTATAAGCAATATATAAATTTTATTTTATCAATTTTAAATAATAAACAATTAAATGTAAAATAAAATATGAGATATATATAAAAAAAATCTAAATTAAAACACCAATAAGATCTTCGTATAATCAAATTAAAAATAAATTAATATAAATGTGCTTAAATTAATAAGTGATCATATAATATTTTGTTTTCATAATATCAAACGCTCGGCAAGATCTCTCTCAACTTAAAGCTTTAAAATACACAAACACTACTATTATAATATACACATGTATTACTGCAAACTATTTTAATTGTAGAATCAAATTAAAATCAACAAATAAAACATAAAATGGAAGAAAAAATAATTTTTGAATAATGTTCTACTAAATATGATTGATTATATATAAAAAAATATTGTAATAAATACATATATATTTTATTATTAACTACTTGTAGTTTTAACTTGCAGTAACACATTACTTAACACCCTAACACTTTTATATATAACATTTGACATGTATTGTTTTCCATAACTATTAGGCCGATCACTACTCGTTGTATTCATCTTATATAATTGACATTATCTATATACATTATATACAAATAATTAATTCATGAAATCTTATAGTATTTTACTTAATATATAATTTTTTAACGACAATTTATTTGACATTTTTGAAACAGCTCAACCAATTTACATTTTATTTAGATGTTATATGGAAAAAGTTATATTAATGGACATTTCAGTAGAAATTAAACTATTCTATAAATGATATGTATCTTAATATAAGAGTTAATTGAGAAATATCAAGATAAGTATACAAAGTTATTGAATAGAAAGAGAAATAGAATTATTATTATATACAAGTAGTATAAACAAGTAATTCATATATAATATCTTATTGCTATTGAATACATATTATATGGTAATTACATATCGTCAGGGATAATGCAAATCCGCGTTACTAGCATTGGATAATTCCGCATATCTACATTGGAAGCAGATCATCAGAAGAAAGTTTAAGCTGAAATATTTTATATAAACGACTTTTAAGGTATTTTTTTTTCACTATTAGTAATATTTAGTGTTTAATTTATTACTAATTGTGAAAAAAAAAATACCTTAAATTTGATTAATTCAGAAAATATTTCAGCTTAAACTTTCTTCTGATAATTTGCTTCCAGTGTAGATATAAGATTTATACAATGGTAGTTACGGCAATTTGCACTATCCTTGATTATATGGATTTATTAGCTTTTATTATATTTAAAGGCATGTTATATATACATGTATCATAATCTGACGTTGTCTTCTTCGTCTATTTGGCAGTTGGTGATCAGTTCTTCGAAGGTCATGCCGTCTGCTGTGAGTGATGTACAGGAAATGCTCCTAAAGAGAGCTTCAGGGTCAAGGTCGTCTGGTAATTTAGTGAGGAACTGAGCCGCTGATATGAAATCCATATCCTTTAATTCGTTTTGGTATAAATGTAGCACACCTGGAAACATTGTAATTATTGTATTAGATATTATTTATATATTAGTTTTTCTATATGATAGTGTAGATACAATTTTTATTATTTTTTAATTTAAATAAAACTAATAATGAATTGAATGTGATGTGAATTCAAGTCTCGTCTGCCCGTGATCACGGTTGCTGTAAAGTAATTGAAACGTCGGGAGTATGTAGTTATATTAATTATATCCGAAAAATATTAGTTTTATTTAAATTAATAAAACTCGCGAAATCATAGATCTCATTAGATTTTATTGTTTTATAATTTTTTTTTTAGAATTGATATTAATTATTATAAAGTACATACATAAATTGATATTGACTGGCATATTATATGAAAAATATATGGACTATCTATACATATATTCATTTTTATACAGAGTTTTTTATATTCTCAATATTTATATCAAAACAGGTATAATATCAAATTACTTTCTATTTCAAGTATTATTTCTATATAAATAGTTGGTTATATACTACTCGGCAGACCCTGGCTAAAGCTGGGAAATTGCCAGGAAGAAGAATAGTTTGTTATATACTAACCGAGTGCCACATGGAACAAGAAGTAGTCTCCGTCCCTCAACATAACGTCCCACACGCGGCACGCAGCGTCTAGCGGCATCGGTTTAGCGAACACCGAGTAGATCCAGTCTACTAGATATAGTTCCGGGGCCACCACAGACACGAGGCGGGGCAGCTCGTGGGATAAGACGGATGTGTACGCTCGCCACAGACGCTGGAACATACACATAAAATAAACATATATATGTATATAGAAAAATATCGTGTCACGTGTTTGTCCGCGATGGACTCCTAAACTACTAAACCGATTTTAAATTTGATTTGCATTCCGGATGCATTTTGATCCAACTTGAAAGATAGGATAGCTTACATCACAATTTATAGTCACAATATTATTTTATTGCAAATTATTTGTCATTATAACAATTATCTGTTGACTGTGTAAACTGTGTATTCAATAGATGGCGCTATGTTAAAAATCCAAACGTCATATATGTATGAGCGACTATTTAATAATAGCATAACCACCACGTGTTTCTGAGGCTAAGGTATAACATAAATTTATTTAAAAAAAAAAAGTAACAGATATTTCTTGATTATAGGGCAATACGAAGTTCGCCGGGTCTTCTAGTATATAATATATAAAATAAATATATATAGTCTCATCAGCAAGTGCTTTTTTTGTGAAAACATTTTAAGTCTCGGAAAAATATGGTCAAGAGCTCATTCGATTCCTTTCGTGGAGCTATTCTTCAAAGATAAAAGAAAGGATTTCCGTCGAGTAAATACAAAAATTGTTAATTTCAAATTACTTAGGCGGGAAATTATTATTTTTTTATATATTGTGAAAGTGTCATCTACATAGCGTTTATAAATTAAGGGTCTTATTGTAGGAGAGCTAAGGGCTCGCACCTCGAAGTCTTCCATGAATATATCTGCTACAACGGGGGAAACCGGCGAACCCATTGCTACTCCATCTACTTGTATGTAGAATTCATTATGAATTCATAACCATAAGCCAATTCTTGAGACCAATCAAGAGTAACATTCCTTTACAACAAGCGGGTGTATATAAACTTGATTGTGACTGTGGCTTGTCATACATCGGACAGACAAAGAGAAGCATCGGTACAAGGGTTAAGGAACACATTTCAGACGTCAGGAATAGGCGCGCGTCGAAGTCAGCAGTGTGCGAACATGCATTGGACAAACCAGGCCATTACATTAGATTTGATAAACCACAGATCCTCGCTCGTGAAGACAGATATATACCAAGGTTAATCCGCGAGGCTATTGAAATTAAAAAACACCCCAATTTCAATAGAGAAGATGGCTGGAACCTATCAAACACCTGGGATCCTCTTCTTAAAAATATAAAATCCCATGTCCGTGACCACACCGCAGGATCTCGAGACACCGTGAGCGCATTTTGCCGGCATCCAGAGCGGTACGCAAGACAATTAAGAAATCGATGGCGGTAGGAGATAAAATGACCAGACCAACTGACAGACACTCACATCTCGTCTGCCCGTGATCACGGTTGCTGAAAAGTAGCCGAAACATCGGGAGTATGTAGTTTCTAATCAAAAATAAAACGCGAAGTAAAATCCAAAAATATTAGTTTCATTTAAATGTGTACTCGCGAAATTCTTAGATCTCATTATTTTAAAAAGTTTTGATTAAAAAAGCATTTGTTGACTAAACTAATATGCCTACACAGATTTTTACCAATGAAAATATTGTTAAAAACAGCGGTGGGTTCATTAAGATGTAATTATTATAAGGACTGATTTTCAATTGTACATATGAAATGCGTAATTGTAGTCCATTGCTTTGTTTACTAGGTTATCAAATTCTATTGAAATTAACCGTATATATGTCCCCATATGTTTACAACATATTTAGTCTGAAGAGGGATATTTAACACTATAGTTATTAAGAAGTGAATGTTCTTATTAATGTATAAAACTTTTAAACTCAAATAGGATATTTGAGACTATAAGTTTAGCTTTTATACTTTCTAAATGTTTATATACTTAAATAAAAGAAATGATTTCAAAATTCGTCTTATACTTTGATATGCAGTAGGATCAAAGTTTATTTCAAAAAGTTCTATTAAAGTGGGAAATGATATTAGAATAATGGTATATATAATACAAGTGTAGTTTCCAGGGTTTACCTGCATTGTAGCTCCGTCCCTGGTGAAGGCGGCCCTCAGTACAGGCCACTCTAGTAGGTTTGAGAAACACATGAACGCTTGGGGCGCTTCCATGTTGAGGATCAATACAGCCGCTATGAACGACATGCCCTGGAGGAAAACAAATATAATATTACATCATTATAGTACTATTCTTGTATATTTTTGTATATTTGATTTGGCAGATTTCTACGGACCAAAAGTTTTTTTTTTACGTTAATTTTAATATATTTAAATATATGTATAGTAATATTTTCTGACCTGGTTTAAGTGATAAACTAGTACTTTATAAATGATAAAAAATACTTGTGACATTTTAAACATTTCCACTACATTTTAATGTTGATACATTTTTTTTGTGTTTAGCAGGATAATATATTTCTATTGGCCAGTTTTTGGTGTTTATCACATACATTACATATATTATAAGCATTGTTATATACCTGTACATATCCTATATCGGGTCTGTAACACACGTAAGCCGCCAGCAACTCATGTAGGACGTCGAAGTACGGCCCTCCCGGCTGGAAAATACACAGATGTGGGAAAGTCCTTGATATATCCAACTGGATCAACTCCATTGAACATTCGTCACTATATTCTAATAGATTAGGGTTTGATTTCGAGCAACACTTGTTGGGTGGTTCAACGTTTAACGTCTTCAGATTCTGCTCGCTGTAATTCCTTGGCATTCCTAATCTCAATTTTTCAACTTTCTCATCTTTTCTATCGTCATTTTTTGTTTTTTCCGTTTTTTTGATGTTGTCTTCTTTATTTGTATCTTTTGTAATTTTTTCTTCTTTATCTTTAGGATCGTCTTCTTGGCAGTGACAGGAGTTGTTGATTTTTAACCGTTTCCTTCTCAACTGCGCTTCGTGTAACTTCTGTTTTGCTTTGGCCACATAGTCTTGGTACATTTCTTCTGTTATATTAAGTTTGTTCTCTATAGCCAGTTGCCATACACGTCCTCTTATAGACGGTGGTAGCCCGCTCCACCAAAGTTCTTGAGTTCTTTTTGCATTTTTCCTGCAATTATTTTAATATACAGATTATAAGATATAATTACCGATCTATTAACCTGTCATTTGATTGAATATCACTATTTGTATATTATTAGATATATAAAGATAATAATAGCATCATTAAGTGTTTCTTCTTGACTATTTATCAGATTTACACGAATTCAACCAACAGTTAGTTGAATGCGGAATAAATAATCGGAATGAACACATCGCGTACAAAGAACAAAACAAAAACAAAGGGGAAACGTGTTCATTGTCCGCAACCTGCAGCTATTGTGAGATGATAGATTGGTTGCCGACGGAACAAATACCGGGAACGACTCGTTCAATGTACGCAACATTGTAAGGCTTGAAACTAATTTACATATTTAACCTTGTTATCGATACCCTTTACTGTGAAACGGTTCTGTGCTATCCTTGAGTGTAATGGTGAAGTGTAGTTTACATTTATTATATTATAAATCGCATTTCTGATCGTCGTTATGACTAATTTTTTTTATTTGATATCAAATTTTAAGTCAGTTATATTTGTTGTTTTAACTGACTTGACTGACCCCTGTATATTCTATCTATCTCTTCCTACCCCTCCCCCTACATATATAAGGACTCACATGTTCTGCCAGTCCGGCAGTATGTTCTGTGTCCACTCCCTGGCGTGTCTCGTGAGTCTCTCCTCCATCCTCAATGACTCCTGCATCTTCGCGTGTCTCGCAGCAGCCTCTCGCTCCACTCTACGTCTCGCCGCTTCAACCATCCGAGCGTGTTCCGCCTTGTGACGCAGAGCTTCTTCAGTGCATTTTGCTGGCAGATTTGATGGCCTGAAAATAATGTATTTGACTTTTTAAGACATCAAATTGTCTGAGACACTAGGTACTAAACATTAAGCCTGTTGAACGCCATATCCATAATATTTACATATTTAGATACTAGTATTAATAGCTTTATAGTGAGGCTCAGGGACAAAAAGTCTACTGTTAAAATAATAGATGTAGTAACCAAATTAAATCTACAAGGTGTGTCATGTGACAGCGAACGCAATATGATCCTATTGTATAATCTGGTATCTAATCTTTATTAATGAGGAGATCCATCAAAATCCTTTAATTTCTTTTTGTGTGAAAGAGATTCGCAAGCATCTATACATCCGTACATTGTCACAAACTTCCGCGTTTCTTATAAGTATCAGCGAGAATTAGGACATTAACATATAAAGAGGATGCAAAGAAATTAAAGCTAAATTTTCTCCAAAGAAAACTACGTCCGATAATCTATACTAATATTATAAAGCTGAAGAGTTTGTTTGTTTGTTTGAAAGCGCTAATCTCCGAAACTACTGGTTCGAATTGAATAATTCTTTTTCTGTTGGATAGTCCAGTTATCGAGGAAGGCTTTGGGTTATATAACATCACGCTACGACCAATAGGAGCAAAGATATAGTGGTAAATGTGTAAAAAACGGGAGAAATTATTTCATCTTTGAAGCCTTCCGTTGCGTGCGCCGTGAAAACGGTTCAAGATACACAAAAAATATGTATTAAAGAATAATAGCTCTTTTAATGATCTAAAAAACAGTCCGCGACAGTATATGTCTATCTTTTAAGATAAACTCACAAAAACCGTTTTTATGGTACCTAATTTGGTCGAAGTAACTTGTTTAAGTTGTATCAACATAATAATATTAATCTTTATTCAAATAAATAAATAAATATGTTGTTTACTTCATTGTGAATTTAAAAAAACATAGGTTTTATCCTGAAAATTCTACGGGAACTCGACCATTCCGAAAACCCCGCAAGAACGGGAACTATGTGGGAAGAACCAAAAATCACTATTCCACGCGCACGAAGTCGCGGCAAAAGCTAGTTCTCAATAAACATTTTCAATCGAATAATACTATTAATACACTATAAAAATAAAATTAACTCAAGTTCAAATTACATAGCAGCCATTAACCGCATACCGCACGGGTTTCATTCACAGCTTAAATTGAATCTAAAACAAAACGTAACGTGTAATTAAAATCAAATTATAGTATTTAATAGATCGTTACGCATATTTGAATGCACGCTAAAAACGTTACGTCGATTCTGAATAACAAATGGAATGCAACATTAACTGGTTGTAGACTTGTAGTTTGTTGAGTGACGTGATTATATCAAATTGTTTACATATACGTAGTAATAAAAATTCATTGAAAAGAAATTTAGTTTGCCAAGTGTTCATACCGGAATACTAAATAATACTAGCGTGCCACTTCACTACCAAGAAACGTATAGCATACGAAGCTGACAGCGTAATTGGATGTCCGTTAACATGCAGTCAGGCAATTATAGAAGATTCCTGGCTAAATGACGATTCCCTCGAATCAGGGACGGAATGATTGAAATAAATTCGATTTTGTGTCTTATTAATACCAACATAAGGATCTTTATCTAAAGTCTTATGATTTCCAATTTGGATAAAGATTTTTTTCTGAACCAAGAGTTTTAAATACTTTATTGTGTAAAAAGTTTATTTTTAAACGATCGTGGTTCTAATATAAATTCTCTCGTATTTGGGAGCTTGCCAGTTGATATCTGAAATGAACTTGAAATAAGGCCAATGACGAATTCTAAATCAGTCCATAAACAACATTTTGAAATCGAGAAATAAAATATAGGTAGGATTAAATTGCTGATAAGTTGATGATTTGTAATATTAGAGATAAATAATTGCGTAAGTTTTACTAATTGGCTTTTTAACCAGTGAAATTTTTAATTTTATCATGTTTGTCATACGTAGTCGTGTAAAAGGTGGAATTTTATTTAATTAATCATTAGAAGTTATTGTTAAAATAGTTGAGGCCATAGGAATAGATGCTGAAGAAGTGTAGTGTAATAAGTAGTATGTAAATCAGTGTTGTATAAATATTAAGATAATAATAAATCTTCTTCTACCAAATACACTCGTTTCAATAACATAAGTCCCCTCAGAAGTGGTGTTGCAAATATTACATATATTTGAAAATAATGTCTTTTTATTTCTGTTTTACCAAAAATTTTCTCTGAATATTTTGAGAGCAGTAAACAAGAAATTGGAAAACGTGCTAGCTTTATTCAATAGCTGACTTGCACACTTGCCTTTCTCAAATGCAAGTGCAAATAATGAATAAAATATAAGGAACCAATTTAAAGAGTGTCAAGTGATAGAAAAAACTTGGTTGGGAAAATAAAATAGTTGTAGGTTTTGGTTTCACACAATGTCCTGAATTCCAAGTAAATTAGACAACATGATTCTAATTTATTGAACTATAGTATATTTCTGTTTACGTTTGAACGGATCCCTAAGTCAGTTCTAAACTAATAAAGCTTAAAAAATAAAAAATGTATGTGAGTAAAGAGTAATAAATTATAGGTACTGTTTTTTCCTAAAAGTGAATTACTAAGTCTCATTTTTCTTTCAATAACAATAAAATATTCTAGCTGATAATATACCTATATGCATATCAAATATTCTAAATCTACCTTGATTTAAATTCAATTCCAAAATTAACAATGTAGTATTGACCACAAACGTGTTGTCTTAAACGGAATATTCGAAGTTAAATTTATTGATAATAAATATTGTGAGTATTATATTGTTAAACACCTTTAAAAGGCCGATTGTGGAGTTTCACCGATTCCAAACAATGATATCATTTCAAGCAAATAACGAAACTACAAATTGGAAAACGCATTTGATTGAAGAATAATTATATTTGATTCAAACTATCTTGATTGCAAACCAATTTCATTATATCGTTTATGTTCAAATGTCAACTAGGATACCCGTACGTTTACTAAAATATCATTGTCACACTACATACAAAGCATCAATAGTTATTGAATTACAAACCTTCGGACATTATAGTATTAATGTACTTTATTAATTAATTAACGAGAAACGGTGAAAGATTTGTATTTCGTGAAACGATGAAAACTTTTGATAAGCATACATAAGTTGGTCTGATTTATTGTTGAATATAAGTAAATGTTATAATCTATTTTAACGCGCAATATTTTATTAATCTGTGTGTGAACAGTCGTATCATAATTTTGTCGGTTGATGTTTGATTAAATGTATGGAATTCATTAAAAAAGGGGTTTTATTTCAAATAACTATTTTAACATTGATATTTAACATAACCGGCGTGAAGAGAATTTGCTGGAAATTGAATCATTTGCTATTTACCACAAAATAGGAACGGAACTATTAGTACTACGGTCGAATTGAAAAACCTCTTTCTTTTTGAAGTCGGTTTCATACCAACTGCCACTTATGAAAATATTATACTTTATATCTTAATATTCCTATGGAATAAATCACTCAGTCGTTCCAGATGTTTGTAATGAAAGGGGAGTTTTTGTTTATAGTTATATTTGGATACTGGAAATGAAATGTAGCATTCTAATTAAATGAACATTGAAAGCAAACTAAATAAGACTTTGTTTACTTAAATTTTGTAAAGTTCCAATTATACATAAATATATTCTATAATATTAAATATTATGTATCTTAATTACAAGCTTCTAATTACAAATTCAATTAATTATTTGATTAATTAAAATAATAATAAATAGAGGTTAATAGATAATTGGAAATATATTTGTATAAAAAATTCAGTACATTTTCTAATTCAGATGAAACAAAGGTAAATTAGTATAATAATTACAGCCTTGTATCACTTTGATTTCATTTTAATGTAGATGCGTTAAAACAGTACGAGATTCATTATTATGTAAATGTTTGCCGTCTATCGCATGTCTGTACAAAACGTTACAAGAGAGAAAAACATTATTTAAACTCATATTAATTCAACTATTAATATAACAATGTTCTACTTTGTATACATATCTATATTATACAAACAAATAATGCCGTTAGGACAAATTTCCCGGAAAACAGATATGAAATTATCTATTTACAGCAGATACATGTTTTATTTACATTATATGTTTACGGAATGTAAATATTTGTTAATGTAAACATAGAAATACTTTACACTAGTTACTTCACCCGACTATGTACAGGAAAATTAGTGTTTGAACAACAATATCCTTCTAGCGAATCCCAACATTATGTATATTATTTCAGAGCAGAAGTTTCAAATGTACACCCGATATGGCTGTAGCGATTTTGATGAAGTTCAAGTTTATTCTAGGCTTGAGTACATTATAATATTATTATAACAGATTGAGTTCAAACATCAAGTGCTGGCCTCACACGATAAATATTTCAGCACTTTATTTATAGTGTTGGGAAACCAGACACCTGGTCGGACGTTCTAATTAATATTGACTAATGTATCGATAGTATCATATAGATAATACTTTTATACGCGTAACCTCTTTTATCGAGTCGATGAACTTATAAAGTGCCTGCGATGCTGACCCTGATTAGCACAACACCTCTCTGTAAGCCCTTACGAAAGGTCAATAACCCGAAATGCCTTTCAGTAATCTTCTATATATATAAAAATGGATTGCTGTTCCTTAGTCTCGCTAAAACTCGAGAACGGCTGAACGGATTTATCATATCTTACTCTTGAAATGTTCGTGGAGGTTCAGGAAAGGTATAAAAGCTGAAAAAAAAAAAATATTTCCGGGAAAACCCTAAAAGCGCTTTTCTATTTCCCATACAAACGGGTTTTTTTACATCAGATTTGACAACTAACTAATATGTCAATCATTCTGTCGCACTTTAGAACACGGAGATTTATGGCTTAAGCTTTAAAGGTAAACTCCAAAAATATAACTAAGAAATAATTTATTTCTTGATTGAGGCAGTACGAAGTCTGCCGG